ACACTGTCTGAGCTTAACCTAGATGCCTAGCCTGGTCCACAATCGGGTAATGTCAGGGTTCTGGCCTCTGCTTGGGTTTATTTTTAGGTGTCTTTGTAGTTTATTTCTACCAGTGCTCAGTTCTTATGTTTTTTCTGGTATTCATCAAGGTTATTCATCTTCTGAATAACCTTGTTTATAGGGTTGAATAATTTTGAGAATGTAGACACAAACCTTGTAATATTTTTTGTTTCCATTTTTGTTTTGTTTTTTTTACAAACACGGCAATTTTTTTATGTGTCTTAAAAACCCTACTCCCATGGGGATTGAATAATTTTAGGTGTGGTTTTACATAAATATGTTTACTGATTAACCATAGCATCATCCCACTATTATACACTTTACATCAACACTTACTGTAAAACATTATGAGCATTCCCTCAATTACATAACTAATTAAATCCCATACAGAATGTTTACAGCAATGCTTCGCACACATGAAATTTTGATGTCTTCAATGAAGCCTGACATGTTCAATACGCATTTTACCTACTGACAATATATTTGCTAATCTTAAATGAATGCATTTAAACCATGTTAGGCCAGCCTAAAATAAATATCAGCAGGGTGATGGCAGCACTGAATTAGAGCAAATAAAATAGTTAACTTATACCGTAGATAGGCTGGGAACTCCTCTTAGTTGTGTTCAGTTTAAGACTTTGGAATGCCAGTCTGTGGTTCTCCATATGCAGAACAACAGATGGACTGCACAGTTTCTGATGCAGATGCATTATCCTAAATCCTATAATAACAGTACCGTTGTTTGTCTTCTCAATGCCACGCACAAACACACAATGTATTTAATTCAACATTCAGTACATCCTTATAAATAACTACTGACAATATTGTATTATACTGATATCAAATAATCTGATGTTGGTCATGATATTAATGACTGGACTTAAGTCTTGAGAGGCTGGTTATACAACAGCCATATCAAGTCAATATGAATATTATTGAGTACATTCATATCCATTATTCAATTCAACTAAGTGAAACAGATTATAAAGATTTATCAGACACAGAGACAGGCTTTTTCTCTGTTCATCACAGTAATTTTTTGCTCTCAGCTTATAAAAGCACTTCATTCAATGCTAACATTTTCATATATCCAGTGTGTGATACTTCAGATATTATGTCACATAAGACAATTGTATTATTATTTTTTTTTTTTTTTTGCAGATTCTGACTGCGGTTAGATTTTTTTGGCTGATTGTCTGACCTGGAGGAAAAAGCCTCCTGACAAAGTTTTTATCCTCGGTTCCAATCACCTAGAAGTGGAAGTTGAGATGTTTTAATTTTGTAGACATAGTAAGGATCAAATTTCATACTCCATCTTTCAGTTAGTAGGTTTTATCATATGAAACACTACAAAATGGACTAAAATAAAAAAATAGATGAGTCTGGCAGATCTAGGTTAAAGTGTTTTTCACTCTGTCCAGAACGTGTAGGTAATGAGTGGTATATCTATTAAGTTGGAATGTAAGAGAAGTAAATTATAGAAAGGCTCCGCTTAGAGTAGGAACAAATCTTACAATGGTGCAGTGGGTCAAGAGGAATTAGTTGCTTTTTAATTATGTCAGCCATGTGCATAGCATAATATAATATACAACATATATTATATATTTCATAACATACAGCGGGTAAGATAAATATTGAACACGCCACCATTTTTCTCCGGAAATAGATTTCTAGAAGTGCTATTTACATATCATTTTCACCACATGTGGGTAACAATCCATATAATCCACACATACAAAGAGATCACAGCATAGATGTCCAGATATTAACTCATTTGTTATAAAGTGAAATGACACAGGGAAAAAGTATTGATCACACTTAATGAAATTTATTTAATACTTTGTACGAAAGCCATTACTGGCAATGGCAGCTTCAAGATGCTTCCTGTATGAAGAAATTAGTCCCATGCATTGCTCAGGTGTGATTTTGGCCCATTCTTCCACACAAATAGTCTTCAAATCTTGAAGATTTTAAGAACTCTGATCTTTAGTTCTTTGAATAGTTTTTCTATGGATTCAGGTGATTGGCTGGGCCATTCTAGTGCCTTTATTTTCTTTTTCTGCAACCAATTGAGTGTTTTTTTACCTGTGTGTTTGGGGTCATTATCTTGCTGAAATGTCCACCCATTTTTCATCTGCATAATCCTGGTAGATGGCAGCAGATTTTTTTTTCTCTGTCAATTTTTCTATCATCCTTCCTTCAATTATTTGAAGTTTGCTATAAACATATGCTGAAAAACAGGCCCACACCACGATGTTCCCACCTCCTAACTTCACTGTTGGTGCAGTTTTTTTGGGGGGATGTGCAGTGCCATTTGACCTCCATACATGATGTGTGTTATGGCAGAGTTCTTCAACAGGGGGTCCGTGACCCCTAGGGGGTCCGCGGAGGTACTGCATAGGGGTCGCGAAAGTTTTGGTTGATTAGACTTTTTTTATATTCCCCCCTGCAATTTTTTCCACTAATTGAAATGTCTTTAAATCCACATTAACATGAATTCAACAGACTGTAGTAAACAGATAAATGGAGGCAGAAGATGTCTTTCAATCATCAATGCACACATTCAGCGACACACAGGAGCTCTTTCAAGCTGGGCACCGTTTCATTCACAACACCTGTCCCATCAACCAGGAATCAGAATCAGAAATACTGATTATAGAATCCCAGTATTACACAGGCTTGTCTAAATGTTGTGCAGCAAACTTTAAACGAGCTTCAACATTCTTTTTCTACAGCAATGGAGTCTTGCGTGGGGAGCGTGCATACAGGCAATGGTGGTTGAGTGTATTTGAAAAGAAAAAAAGATAGAAATTGAGCTTTATTGTTCTCACTATGGATAAATCAACTCTCTGCATTTAATCCATTTACTTTGGAAGCAGTAGGCTGCCACCGTGCAGCACCTGGGGAGAATTGTGGGGTTAAGGGTCTTGCTCAGAGACCCAGAGTGCCGGCTGTGAGGATCGAACCGGGTACTTGCAACCTTCTCAGAGCACAAAGGCACTGCTCTAACCAATAGGCCAACACTACCCCAAATTAATGGTTGTTTCTTTGCTAATTCTTTCTGAAGCTCTTCACAAGTGGTTTTTGGCTCTTGGACAACTCTTCTGATAATTATTTTCACTAGAAATCTAGGAAGGAGCATCTGGTCATGGTCGGTTTATGGTAAAATTAATTTTTCCACTTCGGTTTTTGGCCTCAACAGTGCTCACTGGAACATTCAGAAGTTTAGAAATCCTTCTGTAACCAATGTCATCATTATTTGAAACAATAAGGTTGCGAAGGTCTTGAGAAAGCTCTTTGCTTTCACCTATCATGAAATGCTTGTTTTTTTAAACCAGGCAAAAATTTGGGACTGAACCAGCTGATATTAATTGCACAGACGAGGGCCAGGATTGCTTTCTAATTACTGAGAGATTTCGGCTGGTGTCTTGGCTTTCCATGCTTTTTTGCACCTCCCTGCACTGATGAGGTAGTTTAACATTTTCTTTTTTTCTAACACCACGTGTGTTAAGAGCTGTTAGATTTAAAGAGGGCTCTCTAATGTTGCTGCATGATGCTTTATTAAAAGTCAACTTAACTTCCATGCTTATGCTTGATTGATAATATAAAAAATATTAAAAAGTATGTCAAAGAGGCTGTTGCTAATAAACAGGTTTAATTTATAAATGTTATATAAAAAAATATATGACATATTCATATAAATGAAAAACGCATGTAAACATAGGAAACTTACTAGTCTTAAGTTCAGTTTAAAGAACCTTAAGATAAATATTAAATAAGATGTACTTAAATAGATTTTTCTATCCAACTTAATAGTTTGAATCAAGAAACTTAAATGGTTTAAGGCAATTGGTTTCCTCATATAATTTCGGTTTAACTAACTTATCAAGTTTTACAGTGAGGAGAAATTTAATTAAAATCTGAGATAGTTTTAAATATATCAAATAACTGCAGATTTTACCAGTTCAAGTCACACATTTATTCAAAACTAACAAAATTTACAAAACTTTTTTCAGACTAAACATATAAAAAAAAAAATACTTCATGCATTGCCTGTAAAACTCAGAAGACATTTAATTGAACAAGAACAAAAAAATGAAAAGAGTGGGAATATTTAAATTAATCTTAATCTGCTTTGTGTTGTTTTCTTTTAAGCTTGTATCACAGACATAAACAATTCCCATTTGGTGGAAGGGACACATGGAAATAAAAAAAAAAAACGTTTGGGTTTTTTGTTTAGCAGGGCAATTGCAAAGGACAAACCCATTAAAAGTTAGTGCGGACCAGATTAGAATGGCTAAATGCATTACATGTCCTGGCAGAGAAGGTGCTTTCTGAGGTCTCTGGGAAAATCTGAAAATAATGTGGTTTTCTTATCTAAAATACAGTACGGATATCGATGAAATCTTCATGTGAGTTATTTTGTGTGTTTATGTGTGTGTATTTGTATGACAATTAATGAGATCTAGAGCAATAATTTTTTCAGGGTGTTTTGTGCAGTGTGCCCATTTAGCTGTTTAACTCACATCATAATGAGTGGAAATTCCATCCATCAGGACCAAAACAAAACATTAAGCTGTATTCACTGTTCAGACAAGCCCAAGTAAACAAACGTGACACATTTACACTGTCAGTACAGCAAGTGGACGGAGTTTGGCTGTGGATTTGTTAAAGGAGATCAGTAAGTCAGTAGAAGGAGTAACTAAACAAATCCTGCTTATTTATACCTTCAGCTAATCCACAACCTTCGGCTGCAGTTTACCTGCGCCTCTGCCAGAATGCATCACCTTTTACAGCTCAGCTCTCATGCCAAGCATGCTGCAATGTCAACAGATTATAGCAAAATCATGCTTACCTTTTGTTTTAGTTTGTAAATTTTGTAGTATTTTCTAACTTTAATAGGTATTTTTTTATTTTGTGTTTTGGGATTTTATTTGCAGAAGTAAAGGGACAGAGAGTGGAGATGGATGAAGGGAAATCCGGATACGTTGGCTCAAAAGTGGATCTTCGCTGCCGGTTCATCAACAGTAACCCACCAGTCAAAATCTCCCAGGTATACACAAACAATGTTGAATTATACCAGTTAAAACAGATTGAAATTAAATATATCATTAAAAACTGAATAAAATAATACATATCTTCCCTTTTAGTCCCATCAGTATAATACATACATCCACATGCAAGCATTTTCAATTTGTACATCATCATGAGCATAGAAATATTTTAGTTTACTAGTAAGTAGTGAAATACATAACTATTTTGTTAACACAAGATAGGTTGATAAATGCCTCCTTACACAAATATAATATATATTTTCTTACACTTTTCTAATAAGCCGTTCCCATTTCCATTTCCTCATAACTTAAATTATGTTTTTGAAATTTGACTATTTCAATCCTGGAAAGCTTCTCAAAATTATATTTTTATTTATCATTTTAATTTGCTTCTTTATGCATTTTAAAAAAATGCAACTTGAGATTTAAATATTTTTACATTTTAAACGTTTAAATATAGAAAAAACATTCCTGTTTCATCTATTTTTAGCAATGCATAAATGAAGCTCATCAGTACTAATTTTTATCGCCAATCTAAAAAAAACATGAAATAAATGCAACAATGATTCTAAAATTATGTACAAACTGATTTTAATTCTTGTCATTCTTAATAACTTGGGAACATATGCATGAGTACTTAATTACTGCAATTCTTCACAAATGAGGGTCAGCTTTTTGGCAGGGAGTCAGTCTAAAGCTAAAAGCTTTTAAAGCTTTGCTGATAAATTTGACAAAATTAAAACCAGTGTTATAGCACTTTATAAAGGGCAGTTTCTTAATACTTCTGGCTGTCAAAGGTCCAGGTTTAAAAAAAAAAAAATTATCCTTCAGCAGTAATAGTGTGAATCTATATGTGAAATTCATGTACATGTAGTCTAAATTCATTGGAAACAAAATCATTGATTCAGATTTAATAAAGGATGCATAAATTGGTTGAACTCACCAAGCAGTTAATAAGTTGCAACTTTACAGGAGTGGGTTTTCGACAAAGCATGAGTGTAAATATTTACTTATCTCCATTTAAAAAAGACCCAGAACTAGCTACACTTGGCAGGAGTTCCTTGAAGGAAAACCAAAGACAAGTGAACTTACAGTTCAAACAGACACTTTTTACTCATTCCTCCATTCTACACAGTTGCTGCAAAACCCCCTGATTTGGATGTAGTTTCTACAAACAGAAAATAAAATATTACACTGAATCAATGGTTTGAATAGCTCCTTTAACACAGTGTTTAGTAAAAACTCCCAACTAAACACAAAACTAACTTGAAAAGTAGCTGTTCCTGCGAAACAGCCATGACAATGCTGTACAATGATGCTAAACTGTAAACTGAAAAAGGCAGAAACTGCTGAAATGATATGAAATATAAGAAAAGATAAATGCTTAATTTCTTTGTTGAAAAAAAGCATGTCAGGATTTGGTTGTGACCCAAAAATCAAACTGAAAAAAATAAAACAAACCGGAAACCATGTAGACTTCATGGGAAAACCATCACAACGAGGAAGACACAGTAAGACCGCATTGGAGGAAGTTAGACGTGGAACCAGCACTGAGGAACTGCACAAGGAGAGTATTTATGGGAGACTGAACAAAAAGAGGACTAACGAGCAGTTTGGGAGCAGGTGTGAAGAGAGCAGACTGGGAAGGAGTTAGGGAAAAGGAGAACACAAAAGGGGCAGCAGAGGGTAACATATAAAAACCTGAGAACTGAAATATAACCAGAAAACACAACAAAATAAGAATTAAACCAATAAAACTAGAAAACATGGAGCAAAGTAAAACTGAATACTCAAAAGAAAACAGAACAGAACCAAGACTGTGACAAAGCAGAAGCAAGCTGAAAGCGACAGCAGAAAAATATTGGGCATGTTATGAATTAGTAGAAAACAGAAGCTTAATGCCTGTCCAGAAAGAGAGCAGAATTAAGACAATGTTGGAAATATAGGCTGAGATGTATTAAATTAGCAGAATCAGAAAAAAAAAATTGCAATCTTATCTGGTTGAAGAAATAAAGGTTTGATTTAAATATAGAGACTAAAATGTAGAAGAAAGTGGTTTTGAATGAGCAGGTTAGTGGTACATAAGAAGCTTAAAGTGTTAAAAAGTCTAAGTAATGTAAAATATGAACAGAAAGTTAAAACAGACTTAAACAGACATAAACTTGGGAACAGGAAGTTTGGTAAAGTCTTAGGAACAATTTATAAGAAAAGCTTAATGGCCTTCCTGAAAACAGAGGAATAAGAGAGAAGCAAAAGGCAGAAGCATGGTTGATTATAAATTGGAAAAAAAAACTTTCACGTTTAGAAATGCAACATATGCCACAAAACTCTATAAGCTAATGTGTGTGTATAGTCTGAGAGGACAGAAATCATAAGAATAATACTATACCGGTAATAGATACAACACAGCTGCATGGCAAAATTCCTTTAATATGAGTGCTAGAAGGGTCTGAAGATGTTCTATGTCAAGTTTCATGTTTGTACATTAAATGGCTCAGAGGTGGCAGCTATATGAAAACTTGTGTCGTTTTGGATTTTCATCTGTGATTTTTGGAAGCTCTCCCATTGGATTTCTACTGGGGGAGTGTGGACTTCTTCATGGTCTGGGCCAAAACTGTAAATCCCACACCAATGAGGGTTACATTTCCTGAATCCTGACAGAAATACTTAAGTTTTGATGTATAATTTGTATGGGTAGTTTTAACATTTGGCAAATAAGCAGAAGTTGTTTGCCAAAAGCAAAATGTTTTAAAGTACTAGTTTGGCCCACTCTAGGAGCACAAAGATTCCGTCATTGACTTCCATTATAAAAACTAAAATCTTAAAACAATCTTAAAAAGTTTGAAGCATCACTAAAGCAAAACTGTAAAAGATAGCAAAAAAGCAGAGTTACACAGTAATAGCAGAAGGTCGCAGAAACGTTTTAAAATGGTGTTTCTAGCTGAAACTATGCTGAAGTAGTGAAAGGGAAAAGTAGCTGAACTTTGAGTGGAATTTTAGTTGATTTTGAAGTTTTTCATTCATTTTTATGGGCCAAAAAAAGCTTAATATTTCAAAAATTATGATATCTGAAATTACCAAAAGACATATATATCCCTCCAGGAGAAGCTGAATGTTTTGATACCAGAATAGTTAAAATCGGCTGAAGTATGCGGGACTTTTAGAGTTAGAGGTGGAAAAATTGAACAGGAAAAAAATAAGTGAGAATGCAATAATGCATTCTCCATCAGTGAAGGAAAGGAGTTTCTAGGGATAAAAACCCAAAACAAGTATCCATAGTTCATGTAAGCATAAGTCTAATCAATGAATTCATTCAGGTGATGGAGAGCAAAACACAAAAGCACTGGGCCAAAAGCCCTTCTAAGTTAATCTAAACCATGAGTATAAGGGACATTGGTGGCAGCAGTAGATTTTTCAGTGTCCCAGTCCTGGAAGGAGACACAGCTTAGAAGCACTCAGCCAAAAGTCCTTTCTAGAGGAAAGTAAAAAAAAAACTTTATAATGACCCATCTTTTCAGATAGTTTTCTTTATTTGCCTCTTTTCTAAAGGTAACATGGCAGAAACTGGTGAACGGCTCCAAGCAGAATGTGGCAATTGCGAATCCTTCCCTTGGCGTGTCTGTGGCTCCTCCTTACAGAGACCGTGTCACCTTCAAGAACGCTGCAGTTAGACGGCGAACTCCAACATTGGAAGACACGACCATCAGCTTTTCTTCGCTCCGTCTCTCTGATGAAGCCACATACATCTGTGAATATACTACATTCCCTGCAGGAAACCGAGAGAACACTGTAAACCTTACTGTCTATGGTAAGAAAGTGTTTGTTAAACTTGAATCAAATATCCTTTTAGTGTTTAAGTGTAAAAGCCTTAATTGATTTCATAGGTAAAACAATGCATTTGATTGTTTAATAGATTATTTGAGCACAGATAGTTATTAACTGAGCAATTGTGGTTTAAAACTTTTTTTATTCAGTGGTTTGTTATATATGTTTGACTAGGTGAAAATTTATCATTTACACTCTGTAGGTGCAGGATTATTGAATTGTAACATGTACCTATATACTTGTTTATGTCTTTAGTCCGCCCAACAACGCAGATGAGTTTGTCCACACCGACCCTGGTGGCTCGTTCATCAAATTTAAAAACTCCAGTGGCCACCTGCATCTCTGCCAATGGAAAGCCACCTGGTATCATCAGGTTTGTCTGTATTTATGTTGAAGTAGATTCTGTATTTATTAAATATAATGAATATAGTGTTTTACCAAAGTTTTCATACGTTCAGAACGTTTTTATATTTCTTTCCGTAAAAATTCAAAAAAATATCCACTGGACTTGGTTTCCAAGATTTGAAGACGTTTCGCCACCTCTCCAGGAAGCTTTCTCAATTCAAATGTCTGGATCCGCAGTGAGTTTGAGTCTTATATAGACAACGCCTTGTATCGCTTGGAAACATGCAAATGGTAATCGATGAATGGGTCATTTGGTTCCATCGTTAGTCTGTAATATCGGAACCCTGTCTATGATTCTAGGAGTCGGTCGTTAAAGGGGGGATTGCCGTTATTGGGGGGGATTGTCTCCTGTAATACCTGAAACCTGTCTATGATTGCTAAGATTCGGTCGTTAAGGAGGTATTATTCACCGGCTGGAGCGGGTAGGTCCTTCGTTCCTCTGTGATGGGGTGGGGGGTTTGGTGATATCTGGAAGGGATCATGTCTATGATTGAATTGTATGTTTTTGGAAGCTGGAATCTGAGTCCACCACCTCTGTTTAAAGTTGGTTTTTCTCTCTTAACATAGATGGCTTCCTTCACGCCCCTCTCAAACCACCTATTTTCTTTACCCAGAATGTGAACATTCTGGTCCTCAAACGAATGTCCTTTGTCCACAAGGTGTAGGTGTACTGCGGAGTCTCGTCCAGAGGAGGCCGCTCTTCTGTGTTGGGCCATGCGTCTGTGGAGAGGTTGTTTAGTTTCTCCAATATAAAGATCCGAGCATTCCTCGCTGCACTGAACAGCATATACCACTCCGCTCATATTCGGTCTGGGGGTTTTATCTTTAGGATGCACTAGCCTCTGTTTAAGGGTTTGGTTTGGCTTGAAATGTACTGGGATCTTGTGTTTGGAGAAAATCCTCTTGAGCTTTTCAGACACTCCAGCAACATAAGGGATTGTGATGTTTTTTCGTCTAGTTTTCTCATCGCTGTCTTCTGTTGCATGTCTTTTGGATATCCACAGTTCTGGAGAGCATCATGTTCTGCCCGGTGTTGTAGGGTTCTGATGACTGAGAGTTTGTGTTCCAGTGGGTGGTGTGAGTCAGAAAGGAGATTTATATTATTATTATTATATTATAATATTATTATAAATAATATTATTATATATATTATTATAGTATTTATATTTTGAAGCATCAAACTAAGTCTGACTTAATAGCAGCAATGCAAACCAGACTCCTGCCCTATATGTACAATGGCCGAACCGTTAGTAAAGCTCTCCTGACGTCATACTGCATGGAGTGTCCCCTGCAGGGCACCATGGGAGGCACAGTGGAATTCCATTTGCAGCCCCACATGTGCTTTGTGGACCTGAGGAAGAACCATTGAGCCTCGAGCCCCTTGCATAGGGTGTAGAGCTGGTCAAGTGATCCACAACCAGGACGAAAACCGCTCCTCTCAAAGCTGGGGTTCAACAACACACCCCGGCAAAGGCAAAGAGGTACCATCCTACAGTAGCCTCACAGCCAGCTGAGGGAATAACCCTGATGGCCATGGGATGTTGAAGAGGCGTGTCAGCCATGGCAGCACAACAACATCAAGAGACCTCAGGTACTAAGGACGGATCTTGTCCAGCCTTGCCAAAGAGCTTTTTGACACAGTCTGGGTGGTTGGAAGCTGATTGCAAATCAGTCAGAGTGAAGATAAGCTCTTCCAAGTCTGAGGACATGGTTCCCAGCCAGAATAGGGTAGCTTGCGCTCTTGAGTTTGGAGGGGAATTCCTCCCTCATGTGAAAGAATTAAAGAATCTTTGAGTCTTGTATATGGATGAGGGGAGATCAACACGTGAATGAAAGCAGAGGAGGACTGAGTATGAGAATTCAGCAAAGGGGTCCTTAGAAGAAGGCAGTTGAAATGTAAAGTTTGCCATGATTAAGGGGATTAACTGAATAAAAATGCAAATTTTGGGTTTGATTTGTAAAAATATTTGAATACAATATTTGAGTTTACTAGCTAACTCTAAGTTAGCGTTTTCCATAAAATTCGAGTAAAATAGTTTGTTGTTCTAAGGTGTCACAGTGAAAAGGTATCCTGAATACGTCCGATAGGGTACTGAACTGTCCCTTGAAAAATTGAATTGTTCCGTATTTCGAAGTAGAAGTACCTCTCCTGTATCAAGTGGAAAGGAAAGCCCTTTGTCCCGTATTACTCTGAGAGTAAAAAATAGTCAGTAAAAAGCTAATGGAAAATAAAGAACAAGGGCACGTTAGATACAAAACTTAAGGTAAACTTGTTTAGGGGCCCTGTCCTGCGCTGTGACAAATTGAGTTGACAACATATATCTAACGATCTACAATACTCTCATCCCATTGGTCGAGCAAACTGTTGCTCACTGAGAAGATAACTGGAGACAACAGAGCAGTATGGGGGTCGAACTGAATAATTTAACTGCTGGCGCTGCTGTTGGGTGCAGTGCACCTTGGCATAGTGATGCTCCTCCTCCAAAAAAAAATTATGCAGCAATATAGGGAGGAATGGGAAAAAAACAAATATCTGGGTGGACAAAGTCATTGATAATGAATATAAAGCACACTGCAAATATGCATCTAACTCAATGCAGCTTTGATTCAAATAGTTAAAAAAAACAATTTCACACACAAAGAGGGGGTAAAAAAATTCACCAGGTTTTTTTTCAGGTAGTTGGCAACCTTATGTCTGAAAGACACTTCTTTGTTATCTCTATTCCTCATCTATTTATCTAGAAAGATATAGGTGAAAATGACAGTTATGCTTCCGTCTTAAAATTTTTACTTTCCACATAATTTCTGTGTTTCTGTGGGCACTGATTCCTCTTTGATGAGAACAGGTGGGAGAGCAGGGTACCTGGAGAAGTGAGCACCAGAGAGTACATCAACTCAGATGGGACCTTTACTGTTCAGAGCGACTACATCTTAGTGCCCAGCAAAGAAACGCACAGGGAGACCCTGACCTGCGTCACCACTTACAACGAAGAGGTCTACACAGACAGTGTCACTCTTGATATCCAATGTAAGTCATTTTGGGACAATCAAGCACATTTATTGAGGTTTCAATTTGCGTCTGGCTAAAACAATTATTAACTGCTTCTTTTACTTCAGATGAGCCTGATGTAATGATCGAAGGGTTCGATGGAAACTGGTATCTAAACAGGGAAAATGTCCAGTTGAGCTGTCAAGCGGATGCCAATCCTGCCGTTTCTCTGTACCAGTGGAGATTGTGAGTAATTAGTCATTAAAAGTGCTCAATAATCATTAGTCCTACATCTTAAATTTGCAAATCATTATATTTTAATTCATTAAGTTTTATATCAATTGGACAGGAGGAGGAATTTTGAGGGTAATTTGATGAGTCTTATTTATTTCCAATGCAATACTGATATTGTGGCTTTGACTAATACTTCTATTGACCAAATACCATATGTACATGAATCATTTATACTTTTACTACTCGCTTTGTTGTGTGGAATGTCAAAAAAGTCTTTATCAAGTAATATTACTCGAATAGAGCAAAACAGTCAACAGCAGTAGTTATAAAAAAAAAAAAACATTTGTTATTAACCAGAGTAACTTAAATCGGCAGCGAGTAAAAGCTGAGTGTTTCTATCAAGATGCTTATATTAGATTTTAGATGTAGAACAATATATCCTAATACTTGTTTTTTTGGCTGATATTAGACCAATTTCAATTATCAGTATTGGAGTTGAACATCCCTATGAAATTCCCTGCTTTTAAAAGAGTTTAGCATCCTGCTATGTTTTGCCTTTAAACCCAAATTTGCAACTACATAATCCCATTGGTAATTTTATAGACTACTTCATAATTTTAAAAGCCCAAAAATGTAAAGCCAGGGTAAAAAAGCCTCCAAAAGAATAAGTCTTGTTTATCAAAACAAGATTAATTTCATTACTTAATTGATCATATCAGAAAGAAAACAACTTTTGACTAACCCTTTTATACACAGCTATAAATTAAGACTAAATGTGGATTGACAAAAATACTTGCTTTTACACTTAACTTATATTTTTTTGACTGTATACTCTGCAGGATTAACAACTCCATGCCAAGCAACATTGAAATCCGAGATAATCTCCTCTTGTTTAAGGGGCCTGTCACATATGACGTCCAAGGAACATATGTGTGTGATGCAACCAACAGCATCGGGACTAGTTCTGCGTTTGTTGAAGTCAGCATTTTAGGTAAGGTAGCTTGACTTTATCTCTAAATAGGTAATTCTTTTAAAAATATTAAACGTGTATTGGCAGAAAAGGACAGCATCTTGGTTTGTTTGAGGCTGGATGGTTTTTGTGCAGAGTGACTCCTCATTTGGTGAAAATATGTAAGATTTGCTTAGTGAACACGTACATAGACCCAGTGGGCCATTCTGTTGTCTAAGACCATAGCAGACACTAAACCACAGAACTGAGTGACATCTGTGACAGCAATTAATACACAAGTGATAGACTCTTTACAAAAACCCTGTGCAATCCATGGCCATGTGCCAGAAAATGGTATCAAATCGGCCTATGAGGAGCCTACCTCTAAAAGTCGAAGATAGACAGATGCATCTAGAGGGTTGTTAGCTCATTAATCTCTACACCGCAGAGGGGAGACAATCAATGTAGACGATGCTGTTGAGTTGTGGTGACGTTATCCTTTGGAAGATGGTGTGCGGAGTCTTTTGAGATGTCTTTGGCTATCTCTGGTAGTGGGTATAACAATATGGTGGGGCCAGACGCATCACAGTCACCCTGTTTCCTCCAAAGACAGCACACTGCCCCTGGTGCATCTTGATCTTTCAACAAGACTATGCCTATCCTCTGAAAGCAAAAATGTACTAGTTGGCCATTCTGCCCGACTCAGAATGTCCTGTGAGCAGCCAAGTTTGGTTTTAATACTTTTCTGAACATATATATGTCACCTTAAACTGCATTTTGAAGTGCCACTTTACAAGTTCTCCAGAACCATTAGTAAGAGCTGTAGCCCATCTTGCTACAACAAATGGGAAAAGAGGTGCATGTATCTTTTCATTTCTGGGATTCCGACCTGCTGCAGTCAAATTCTTACTAACCAGTTCTGTCATGCATGTGATCTGATATTCTGATAGTCCAAACAACAGAGTCATGTGTGAAGTTTATTTCCCCTCCAGAGTTTTGCGTGTGAGCTTTGTTCCCCAAAATTCCTTTTTAAATTTCAAGTTTTAATTTTATAAAAATTTTTTATTTACATTTACAACATGATCAATTTGACTGTTATTGGTAATAGTCATATAAAATGAAACAAAGATAGTGTGGTTAATCAAAGTTCTTTGTTTTTGCTGGTCTTGCAGAAAAGCCTCTTCCCCAGATTGCAACAGGAGATGTCATCAGTGTAATTGCCTTATTACTGGCTGCTGGAGTGCTGATGGGCATTACAATCACAGTCCTGGTGCTCAAAATAAGAACTAGAAAAGACAGTTCATCGTATGTAGCAATGATCTCAGTCTCTCACATGTTTTGTTTTTCCTCAGATTTACTTTGATCCATCTTTAATTCTTTTCCTATCTTCCTCCCTTGCATTTTCAATCAGAGGTGACTCGCCATCTATAAAACTGTCTCAACCAATCAGAAAAAGACCAGATGATATCCAGGTAACTAGCAGTTTGTGTTCGTGTTTTGAATTTACATACACAGGACTTGGTCTATGCTTTAATGCATGCAATGCATGTTATAACTAATATTACTTCTGCACTGTACTAGGAAAACAATGCAAATGAAGAACCCCAAAGTTGGATGTTAGTACCACCCTTGTTATGAAAAAAAGAAAAAGCAAAATCTTTTTGACATTGACTGTGCCAAGAACACCAGTCATTTATTTTGGAAGATAAACATCAGCACTGTTTATTTAGCACCCCTATGTGTGGACCCCCTGGTGGAATTCTGTCATAAAATCATCTTAACCCAACAGTCAGGAAAAGGTGGCTTGTATATGCCACACCTGCAAATGCAACGCACCATTTCATAATGCTATTAATAAATGTGCATTTATACCTCTCAGGAATAAAAATTATTTTGTGTGCATCTTTAATACACACACACCACTTGTGGCTGGGCAGTGAATTGCATTTGCAATATAATCACACATTTCCAAGAAGCGATTTTCAAATTGCAGAAGAGGTCAGTTTTGGTTGCATTCCATTTAACTGTGTCTATGGCTCTTTAGATTGCAGTAATATACTTAAACGGGTTTTCCACCAAACAGAAGGGAAGTGTAGATCCATGCATGTGAGCAGAAGTAAGCAATTGTCCACACAATAAGAGCAACAGTGAGGTTCTGCTGCAATGGACGCTGGAAAAAAAGCATTTGAGGTCATGAAAACAATTAAATCCTGGAGTGAAACATCTATGTGCTTGTAGTTATTGAAAAGGAAAATCAAAACAAAATCGCAATATTGCTTGAATAACAACTACTTGTAATTGTAATTTTTCAGATGTCCTATTGGCTGCTCAGGGTGAATTCCCTTGATGATGCAACCAGGATTTAGTCCCTTATATTAGAATCAAGGACTTTATCATCTTCACCATGATAAATCTGTTTAATAATGTTTTTATTCCATTTGGCCGCAGATGTAAGGTTATATGTTTTCTTCTTATCTCAGCATGTTTTCTGTGTGAACGTAACAAAAAAACATCAGCATCCCAGGGCATGGCTTCTTGCCTAAATCTTGACTTAATATTTTGCCTCTGCTTCTCTGCAGCATGGTGGACGGTTTTATGAGGAACTTCCTAACACAGCTGACTATGTGAGCTACAGACTGGCCTGTAACAAGGAGGACTATCCAGAACCCTATTCCCCACCCATCAACCCTCCTCTCTCATTTCTCCCCCAGCAGCCCTACCAATCCCCACAACTGATGCCTGCTCTGGGTGCCAGCAGTGCCAGCACTCCATCCAAGAACACTTTCGCTCCTCCTACACACACAACAGCTGTCTTCAAATACCCTTCAGTACCGGGTTTGTCATCTCCTCCACCTGGAGTGGGGCCGTATACTTTTCCCAAAGAGCAGTATGTCTGAAATGGCATCATGTCATAAGCCCAAACTTCTTGAACCTGAACATATCTTCATAAAAGGTTTGAATGAGCTGATTTGAAGCCAGTTGGACTATCAGGCAACAGCTCTAAACTATGAAGGTCTGAGGACACAAAGCTTTTTTAAAGTTGTTTCACTTATTGTTCTGTCTTTGTCTGTCTTAACTGAACGTTTAAAGGGAATCTTGTGATCCATATTTGACATTTAGGTTAGAGAAAGCCCATTTGAATTAATATATATTTCTTATTTATCACAGTAAAGGGATTCCCTTGGTGTTTTTGCTGTCCTTACTTTATCCACATTAACATTATTTTATAAAACAAAGGAAGAAAATCTTTAGCATTGGTTTACATTTTTGTTATTTTTAATTTTATTGATGCTGGGGTTTTTTTTGTTGTTGAACACAAATACCATCCCTTGTATGTGAGATTTTGGCTTTGTCTAATGGTCTCCTGTACTTCTCTACTTGTATTTTATATACTGTATTTAATTGTTTATTCTTTGTGTGGAAAAGAAAAAAAACAAATTTGTATTCTCAGCAGCTTATGGAAGTGATGGTTTATTGTTATCTGTTCTTGTCGGATGAGATGAAAGTTGGAAATTTTAGTAAAAAAATAAAAATTGACATATAATAATTTACGTCTTGTTGTTTTAGGTACTTTTGCTGGACGTTATGCTACCTTTTTAACTTTAAAAGTTTTATATTGGAAGAAAACAAAACAATGAAATGTATATTTTCCAGTCATGTTAACCTGTTTTTCTGACAGAAACACACATAACTTAATTACACTATGGGTTTGGCGGATTTGGCACGTACTGTATATATCCAATATAACAAAATCAAATGTGTTAGATTCCACTGTTGTTGTCGCATGTCAAAAGAAAATTTTTAAATTAGCATTTGTTTAGTCTAATCTAACTATCTGACAGCTAGTTCCAAAAAGGAGTTGCTGTTATTCTGGGGAGTTAAATTCAAGCTACTCTGTAAAGTGTTGACTTAAAAATGAACAATTCACAAGGGTCTACAAGAAATCTGTGAGCCTATATAAAAAGAAGTGAAAAAAAGAAAAAAAAAACTGTGGCTGTACTGGAGTTTCCAATTTGGAATATTGATTATCATGTGGTAAATGTTAACATGTAACATTTACGTGTCATGATTTTATCTAAAGATCCCAACCCACAGGAAGTGGATTCCTAACATTACGAAGATTTGCAAAGGGGGCTAGTGTGAAGTTTGGACTTTTTAAACAGTCCCAGTGTTGTAAAGTAGTAACCAATGAGATCTCATAATGCTCCTATAGCACCTCAATAAACAGCAGGACAGTCGATAGCCTTCAAAGCTCAAAAGAGTATTGAAATATCCTTCTATTTATAATCTTAGCCCAGAATAAATCCAGATGGTCTGCAAAGGCATTAGAGGTTCATTAGAAAACAATCAATAAACTGTACCACAAAGACCAAGAAACACCAGATAGACTTTTTAGAATCTATTTTTCTACAATGTCTTTCTAGATAATATAAATCTAGAATATGTAGAATCCATTTGTCTAGACCACATATGCAATACTGCACATGCAGAAGATGAGAAAAAATGAAAGGTACGGAGACAAGTAAGGTGGTATTTTCCCAGTGGTGGTGCAAAAAAGAATGAGGAAAAGTCAAGGTGTGTGCATCAAGTAAAAAATATTATATTCCAAGAGGATTCAGACATTGGTAACACTTGGAATAAAATCCAAATGTTGGGGTCCACTGAATTGGGAGCTAAAGCCTTGCGGGATTAAGTGCTGCCAGTAGATGGCAACAGCGTTCAATGTTTTATGCTGATCCAGCCTGGTGCAAAAATTATTTTCCGGCTCAAAAAAGATTTTTAAAAAGCTGTATCTGAACACATACTGGCTTTATTAGATGGTACTGATTGTTTTATTTTACCTGAATATAGGTTGTTTGTTTTTATTATAGGCATAGTATGTGAATAGATCCTTTTAAATGAGTATGCCGTTTCCTGCCTAAAAAATCAATGATATGCTTAGAATATAGATAGTCATAAAGAACTTTTTTTTTGACTAAGGTATTTTGAAATTAGGTTTTACGTGATTTAATAAACTTTTTCTGAAAGTTTTCTGAAGATTTTTGTCAAGATATCTTCTTCATCACTAAAATCTAGTCACCCAAAGATGAACCATCCTTTGCAAAATTCCTGAACACCTTGTTCCACCACCTTCTTATTGGAGCAGCCCATTAGATGTAGTTAATAATAAAACAGGCTCTGAATAAAACATACAGGTAGGTATAATGCTGTTTAATTGTTTGGACTTATATCAGGAAGTATTAGATGTTTTGTTTTTTCCTATTTAATCGATCATGAACTCAATTCATTGTGCACCCACAAAACGTCTAACATTCTCAGTCTTAGCCATGCTTGGTATCTCCTTGCTACGGGAGAAATTCGATATCCGTCTTCTAGTCCCTCATCAGTAACATCTCACGTTACATTCTACTGTTTACTTTTGACAATCATGTCTTCTCTTTCTATTTAGATGGAGATTTGGAGATCAAATAATGATGTTATTTTTTCTCAATACTGTTGGTGTCCCTCAGCAAAAACTCAAATCTCACATTTATCTTTATTTCCAATTATTTTCAATAATACTTATAATTATATATTTCTTTCGACTATGACAGTATCTGTAGTTGCATCAATGCATCATCTATTGACCTTCTTCTCTCTGTTGGACTAAGCGAAGTATCCCATAGTGCAATGTAACGATGGATTTAACCAATGTGTATTGCTGTAATTTGTTCAGTTTGACAGAGCATTAACTCAGAAATTTGTTTCAAACCATTTTTTTAATTAATCATGTTATTATTATTATTATTATTATTTTTTATTATTTTAATTATACTAACATGATGTGTAATGGTAAAGGGGAGAGGGGTAAAAAAAACATTACAACTGATTAAGCTTCAGACCACTAAAGTTGTGTTCCTGCCTCTGGCATGTTTCTCTCATGTTGTTCTGTATTTAGATCCATCAGTCCTTCCATACACATGATGATTTGGAGCAGCTTTTGGTATTTTAAACTATACAATTTTCTTAAAAATTCAAAATAAATATAAATGTAAGATATTGGCATTAAAGTGGATGGACTTATCTAAATATTTGGTTATTGGTAGTTATTCTGAAATTAGATTGTGGAATGCCTCATGGAATCACAAATGTAGAAGTATGAAAAACACATTTCCAGGAGGAATCACAAATTTACAAGTGAAATTTGTGATTTATGTTTGCAGTTTTTGCAAAACTGTAATTTCTAAACTTGAATTCTCACAAAATTAAACACCTGAAGTAACACGAATGTATGACTTGACATCAAGGAAGAAATACGAATCTTAGATGTATTTACATGTATTGACTTACATTTAAGTACACAGTTATATTACGCCATAAAAGAATACAGAGAGCTGTTTTTACAGAGCCATAGCTGCATGGAATGCATTACATTGAGTTTTTTGTACTAGACAAAAATAAAATATTGCAAATTTTTCCATTTACACAAGGCTGAATTCTGAATGATATCAATTACTTGCAAGCAGCAATAATAAACTAAATGTTGGTGTGTAAAGTATATTAGAAAAAGTCCTGAAATACTGTCGTGGATGACACAATTTTGCAAAGTATGTTTTAAGACAACAGCAACCATGTTATATCAGTGTATAACTTGTAAATAATTGCATTAGATGTGGGACTTAGGAGCTTAGTTATTTGCAATGATAATGAAAATTGTTGTTTAGTATTTAACTTAATGTATATATTTGATATGTTATCATTAATAATAAATGTTTTCATACTGTGCCTTTACAGTTTGTTATGTATTGATGTCTGGGTTTAAAAGTGTATGTCATTTTATAAAAGTACATTTATAATTAAAATGAAAGAGACCCCAGGCAGAATAACTCCTGTAACTAGTCAGAAGCTAATGGGGCTCTCAATCAAATCAAATCAAATCAAACCTATTCAGTGGGTCTCTGCAGGTCCTCCATCTTTACATGGGTCTCTTGGCTGCTTTTGTGACTATTGCTCTCCTTCTGTATTTATGTCATGAAAGGTTTGCAGCTGTGTTGAACTCTTTCTGATTATAAACATTTTAAAATGCTCTAATATTGTTTTACAATCTTACTCTCGTATGAGCTTAAGACTGAAGCCTATATTATAAACTTAAACCTATTTTTACTCAATTGTGCCGGATTGTATGAGTTCTCTGTATTCCACTGCCCTATTATCACTTATTTGTGTTGATCTATCACATAAAATCCATATACATTAAAGTTATTTTTGTAGCAAAATTTAGAGCAGTAAGACTTTTTTTGCAAGGCAGTGTAACTGCTAAATAAAATGTTAATTCACCGTTGAGACTGAGGTGATACAACATTGTTTCTCCTAATATTTACTTGAAAATAGCAGAATATCTTACCTCCAATTTAATTTTGTGAAAAAAACAAACAAAATAAACAAATATAAAACTTTTATACAGATATCAAAAGTAGGATGGTTCTTTTCAGATGTTTAATTCTTGTTTGTACGTCCCTAACTTAAATATGTTTGATAAATTATTAGCTGCTCTACTAGAGCTGTTAATCTAGTTTATATGCTAAAATATTAATTTTGTTATGTAATGTGCAGGTATGTGCATTTATGCATGGGTATGTGCCTGTGGAACTTTAAACCATTCAGCCATGCAAAGGTCTTGCATAATAAATGAGAAAACCGTCCTTGTGTTATCCTAACCCTGAAGGAAAAGAAAGGGGAAAAGACGAGCAGAGAAAATGAAAAACACCACTGGATAATGCAAAATCAGGTTTTCGCTGTAGCCTTGTGCCTTAATCTGAAATCATCAAGGTGCTTTTGGATTCAAGTGACAAAGAAACTGAACTTGATTGGAAAGAAGACACTAGAAAAGGGATTCGTTGGTCTCCCAAAGCTTCAACTTTCAAGGAGTTTACCCATTTATCGGGGTAAATATGTTGCTGAACCTAAGATCATCATGATATCATGGCAGCCCTAGTGCTAGAGCTGGATTTTTTATTTCTTTCAACAAGCTTATTGGTTGTAACAACATGCGGTAAGGTTTTAGTCTATCTATCTATCTATCTATCTATCTATCTATCTATCTATCTATCTATCTATCTATCTATCTATCTATCTATCTATCTATCTATCTATCTATCTATCTATCTATCTATCTATCTATCTATCTATCTATCTATCTATCTATCTATCTATCTATCTATCTATCTATCTATCTATCTATCTATCTATCTATCTATCTATAATCTATCTATCTATCTATCTATCTATCTATCTATCTATCTATCTATCTATCTATCTATCTATCTATCTATCTATCTATCTATCTATCTATCTATCTATCTATCTATCTATCTATCTATCTATCTATCTCTATCTGTCTGTCTGTCTGTCTGTCTGTCTGTCTGTCTGTCTGTCTGTCTGTCTGTCTGTCTGTTTTTTTTTTTAAATAAACTATAATTTTACAGTTAGAAATAAACAGTTTATTTATTGCTTATTTGGTTCCCTTATGACTGAAAATGATGCAGCAAATCAAGTAATAATATCAAAGTGAAATCTTTGACAATTTCCAAGTCATTTCAAAGTTAAGAATAAATTTTTTATTTGACAATGATTATTATTTGTCAAGTTAAGAAGTAAAAATGTAATCCACCCTGTCTGCAGCTGAACAAAGCTAAACCACATCACATCTCCATCTATGTTTCTGTAGCATGCATAAGCCCAAGCACATGCATCATATGAGCATTTCATGGTTCCATTTCTCTTCTTTAGCTCTTCAGATCAATCACACGGGGGAGGTGGTGTATCGTGACAACAGCGTCTATGGGGTGGTGGACAAATCTGCGGTTCTGGAATGTGGAGAAGCGTTGCCCGACTTATACATATGGAGCTTCACTAAGCCTGGTGCTGAAGCCATCAAAGCAGTGCTATATGATTTGGGGAAAGGACCTAGGATGCAGAAGTTGGCTAAGATGGTAGGGCCACTGACTATCCTACCAAACACAGCCTCTATAAGCATTGAAAAACTTCCTCTGGCTGCTCAAGGCTTGTTCACCTGCCAGGCTTTCTATGACATCGAAGATGAGCCTATAGTTTACTACTATTATGTACATCTGACTGTCCAAGGTAAGATTCCCTCTAGAAGGCTGCTTTATTTCTGTAAAGCTCATTTCCTCTCAGCCCCTAAGTGACATTTTTAATTTCTCCTGTCTTAATGACAGATATAGCAGTTTTGCTTTTTTAAACAACTGCTAAAATTCTTAAATTAGCATGTTTCACTCCTGAAATATCATTCATATTCTGTTTCAAATACAGTTCCAGTCAGCAAGCCATATCCTGTCATAAGTGAAGCATCTCCAGCGGAAGGATCTACAATATGGATGAACTGCAGTGTGGAAAATGGCTCTGAACCGATCCAGTACACGTGGCAACATAAAACTCTTGAAGGAAACATCTCCAACTTCTCACAGAGCAACCACAGCAGCATGGCTATGACCAGCGTCAGTCGGAACCACACAGGCTGGTACCACTGTGCGGTCACCAATGCAGTGAACAATGAGACCTCTGACTGGCTATTATTAAATGTCACATGCAAGTATTTGGGATTTTTCTGTTTATTTTTGGGGAAAAACAGGCCTTCAGATAGACCAGGATTTAGTAAGATAATATTCTGCTCATTCCCATCAATTTTTATTCTTTAATCTCTCCGATATTCGGTGCAAATATCCATAGTTTGTAGTTTTGTCATGTGAGACTATATTTTCAGAAATGTCATCCTTAGGTTCCCCCTTTTTTTCCTTTTTTTTTTTACTCTTTCACCTGATTTCCCTCAGTAATCATTCTAAATTAGTTCTGTGTAATTAAAATGCTCCTCTTTTTGCATGCTAGGCAATAACCATGTTTTCTCAAAATAGAAGAATTCTGAAACTATGTAAAGATTTTTATATGATTTACATCTTCCAGGTATATGTTTAACACACAATTAAAGAATCAAAGTACTGAATCCTCAAGTGTTGCTTTTAAAAACAATTCAGAAGTCCTTTGGGAAGTAAATTCCCCCCCCCCCCCCCCCCCCTTGCTCATGTTCTTTATTTTCAGTTGGTCCAGATGAACCTCAGATAGATGTAACTCCATACCACATAATCACGCATGGATACTCCACTCTGGAGAATGAGACTGTTTCCATGTACTGTCAGGCCCAATCCAATCCAGGCAGTCAGTACATCTGGCTTTACAACAACTCCCAAATTAACACCAAACCAGAGATCACTATCAACAAAATCCTCAGAACCCATGCTGGAAACTACACCTGCCTGGCCAAGAACCCACATCTCCACAGTCAGTCCAACAAAACTCTCAGCCTGACTGTCTACTGTGAGTGTAACAACTGTTGCTTTCCTGTGTCAGTTGTTGTTTTCAGTCACCATATTTTCAACAATTGATTTCAGTTTCCTGGTTTTTAAAGCCTTACTCTCAAACCCTCTATCTTAAGCCCTAACCAGTGTAGATATATATGGACTACATGTGTTTTTTTCCCTGCAGACCCTCCTGATGGTGCCCCCATGTGCTCTGTGGAACCTTCTCTGAATCACACTGCTCTCAGGCTCCTCTGCTCCTGGTTGGGAGGATTACCCACCCCATCCCTCCACTGGACCATAGACCCAATACAGACAGGACAAAAAAAGTTCAACTCAGGGCAACAACCACATCTACTAACTAGCAATGTCACAATGCTCTCGTCTGAGAGTCTAAATCTCAACAGCAGCTTGTTTACATGCATGGGCTCCCATCCTGCTCTACAACAACCTAAAGAGTGCAGTAAACATTTATGTAAGCATGGAAATAAAACTGTGATAACAAAATACTATGAAAAAAACTCTTCATATCGTCTTTTTTTCTCATCCCAGATATCCCCCCTGCAGAGCCAGTCTGTTTCACCAATGTGACAGCTGATAGGCAGTATCTGATGTTGTCCTGTTCCTGGAATGGAGGGGTACCTGAAGCTCTGGTGTGGTGGGATGGTCCGATGGACCAAAACAAGGAAAGACAAGAGAACTCCAATGTCCTTGTTCTCCACTATGGGACTGCACACAGTGGGAAACCCTATACCTGCTACTCAAAACACCCACTTCTGGCTGCAGCAAAGACCTGCAGCATCACACTGGGTTAGTCCTCATCATACCTGTGCAGAGCAAGAAATAATCAAATGATGTGATAATAAAAATATTTCTATGTATAGAGAAGCTTCCAAAGCAGCAATAAAATTACACTTATCTTTTAGGAAAAAATGTGTTTGTCTAGTTATAGTCTAATGTTTTGTTTTTTTTTTCGTGGTAAACAGATTTTCAGTCAAGATTTTATTTCAGTTATACAGTAAATCACTCAAGAACATTTGTTATTAAGCAGTTCCACTCTCATTCCTAAATCAGGGCCTTTTGATTATAAAAAATGGTCACAAAATAATGACCCCCAAACGTGTAGTTTTTTTCCTGAGGTAATGAACATTAATTTGACCAAAATCACACAATCCTAAGCTTACATCTTGGCTGTTTCAGTGCCAAGTTGACTGCTAATTATTAGGTTTGTAGAGTTTTTTTATTGCTGTCAAGATAGAGCTAACAGAAAAGGTGTTTTAAACCCTTGTCTTTGATTTTCATTGAATTTAATAACTTTTTTTCAAGCTGTTATTTCCCAGGCAACTGTGAAAATATGAACAAATCACACAGAACAGGATATGACAGACACACTAGAAGCTTTAACACCAAATGAAATCTCTCTTTCTTGGAGAACAACATTAGTGAAAGCCAATAATTTATCAACTAAAACAAGCTTGTTAAATCAATAAAAGGACTTCTAAAACAGTTTTTCAAGCAAACATAAAAAGAAATAAGCAGTTGCATTTCAAAACTGGCACAAAATACAAAACTTCTTGGAGTATTGGGGGATGATTTTCATTATACATACTTCTGATACCTTTGATTAAAATATGCTGTTTGGAACCCCTAACACAGTCTGAACATCTGCTGAACTTAAAATAACTCAAAGATAGTTTAAATATTACATAATCTGATTCACAGTCATGCAAATTCTATGGACCAAAGTCTCCCACAGAGTACAAGGTATGATTAAAAAAACCTCCTCTTATAGTTAACAATATTTGTCTTCTGTTTTCCTGCATCTGGGATTATCTCTCTGATGTAGTTTCCATCAGCAAGCCATCCCTCCTGATGAGTGATACATCTCCAAAGGAAGGATCTACAGTCTGGATGCGCTGCAACCTAGAAAGTGGAACGGAGCCAATATATTATGTGTGGCAGCATCAGCTCTATAATGGAACCTTTAAGACATTTTCACAGGGTGGAGGCAGTTTCATTAATATCTCAGACATTGTCCGTAACCAGACTGGCTGGTACCGCTGTGCTGCAAGCAACGCTGTGAACAGTGAGAGCTCAGAAAAAATATGGCTCAACGTCACATGTATGTATCCCCATGTGTTTTTGTTTTTCCATTATTTATTCTAAGGTATGAAAATGAAATGCATACTTTAACTGATCACCTCATTGTTACTATAAAACTTGAATGTTTAATAGGCTCAGAGAAAAACACACAGTGAATAAAGACTACTAAATATATTCCCTGTGTTTTACATTTATTTATCATTTCATTATCACATTCTAAAACTAAAACTTTCATTTTTTTTGGTTTGTTTTGCATTTGTAAAATTTTCTTCAGTTTGCCTCACTTACTTTGAACCCCACTGTACTCTGTTGTTACTTACAAAAACGTCCTACCCAAAAAAACATTTTTCTTTACATTACAACCTTAAACTTTAAAATTAGTTTTTATTGGAATTCATTTGAACAGACCAACACAAAACAAGCCCTTTTGTCTGCAGGGATTTGAAAAATTGTGAAGGATGTAGCTGATAAATTTTCTTGTGTTTCTTAAGGAAACATTGCACGTTGCATGCAATAAAAATGAGGCTGGGGTGGAGGTCACCTTTTAGAAGTACAAAAAGAATAAAAAAACATCAGAGTTATGGTCTAACTTTTTGAATCAAAACACTTTAATGTGTCATAATCCTCAAGTCAGTAGAACAGATATTGCTCTGCAACTATACTTGCAGCAAAGGAAGTTCTGCTGTGTATTGCAAAATATGAGCTGTATACAAAAGGATACCACACTTTTCAGATTTTATTTACCAAAGATTAAGACATAAAACCATTTATGCAATTATTTGTTTCTATCATATCAAATCCCAATAAAATACATCAGAGATTATGGTTGAAGAAGACAAAAGTAAGAAACATCTAGGTTTCTTACTTCTGCCAGACACTTTATATTTTATCTGAAACCTTGATGGACAGCCTTTTATGCAATAAAATTTTTTTTATTTAAAAAAATAATACCAAAATCTGCTAGTCAATAAAAACACAGAAAACAATAGTTCAATTAGCTTTTATTTCTAGCCAAGAGTTAATCACACCGAACAAATTTGATTACATAAATAAACCATCTTTGGGTTATTACTGAACCACATTCAACATCACTGCTGCTCCACTCTAATGTTAGAATATTGACTGAGCGTATCTTAACATTGTTGATGTTATTTCCTCTCAGTTGGTCCAGATGTTCCTCAGATAGATATGGTTCCATCCACTATTGTAGAGGGATATGCAGCACTGGAGAATGAGACGGTTTCATTGACGTGTCAAGCCCGGTCCAATCCAGCCAGTCAGTACATCTGGTCCTACAATGACTCTGAAGTGTTCTCTGGACCCCAACTCACCATCACTAAGATCCTCCGTGTGCACACTGGTGACTACACTTGTACAAGTCTAAACTCCTACCTGAACATGCAGTCCCGGAAGACTGTTACCCTGACTGTTTACTGTGAGTATGACTTTGGAAAAAAGCCTTTTTCTATCATTGCTCCCCCCTGTAAGTGGATTTAAATCTGATTACACCTGCAACGTCTGATAAATGTGAGCTTTCTAAATCTGTGTTCTGTTGATTTGATATAATTGATAGTGTTATTTTCTAAAGAAGGCCTTTTATTTCTGGTTTTAATCATAAAACTCTCTGTCTTCAAAGTAGAGCCAATAAGGGATCTTTGAAGTGTCACACCAAAGATTTTAATAATAACAAAAATCCCAAAATGTGTGTCCTTTTTAGTTTTCAGTTAACACTTTCATGCAAATTCCTGCAGCTTATTTAAAATTTATTTGGGCTCAGTCCAGGATTTTCAATCTGAAGTTTTTCTTACGAAAAATTCAGATTATTTTAACCAGGAGGCTAGAGCTAACAGACTCCTCATGACATAAAAAATTACTGTTAAAAACGCTTATTGAATGAACCGCTTTTGATTTGGTGAAATAACTGTCAACGTATAATTCATATTGCATTTGTTTCTTCTTGCCAAAACATATATTAATGTGACATCACATCTTTTATCTGTGGGAATACAGGTTTATAAGTTACAAATACAAGATTTTAAAGTTATAACACTGCAAAACAAGTACAAATCACATATTTAAAAAATGAAGCACAACTGAACATGAGTTCAAAGTAATATTTCACCAAATATATCT